TCTTTTTTTGAAGATTAATAGTCTTTGTTCGCACGTCTTCGATCGCGTAGCATTAATTGCAGGATAAGATTTCACTTTATTGCACTAACGGATGCTTTCGAGCACGGTTCTCGACTTACTAAATCTATTTCGCCGTCATCGCGGACAATCGCCCCTTCAACACCGTGGTAGCTTCGCGACGAATCAAAATTGTGAAAGTGTCGCGAGATCCCGAAGGTCTATCAGCTATTGCCACGAAATCAGACATAGGCGAGGTACTTTGCTTAAATCCGGCATTCCTTGCTTTACGATTTGTTTGCCTCTATTGGAATGCTCGTATTACCTTGAAGAGAAATCTGGCTTTTTACGGTCTCGCAATATTTGTAGAGGGCTTTCGCTTAAGACTTAACGGTTTTGAAAAAGGATGTCACAAATATATATTATTAATAGATCTTGAAATTTATATCAGCTGAATCTTGAGTCGAAAGAAATTGCGTATATATCTCTTAAACGTGATTTGGAGGTGATTTAAAAAAATTATTTACAATTTTTACTCAAATAATTTACTATAGTTTCATTTACAATTTTTTAAAATAAATTTTCCTCCAGAATGCTACAGATATAAAATAATTTTAAATATAATATATACATAAACATGATTAACCAAATCGTTACATTAGATATGCACGAAATTCCTTCAAACGGCAGTCTTAGGAAGAATTCATTGATAGATAAAGATTTTAAAAAGAATTTGTTATGATTTATATACTCCTTTGAATTGAAGAAATTCTCCGCAAAGCATCCCAAAAAAGGGATCTCTCTCTCTCTCTCTCTCTCTCTCTCTCTTCTAATCTCACCAATTAAAACTTTTCCTTTATGTCTACTACATATTTTGTATTGAAGCTACAGCTTCCGTCCAAGCGCTCTCTCTCTCTTTTGTTTTTATACTCTGATTACGTATATAAACGAAAATTCAACAGAAAATATTTTATTAAAGACAACTCGGAAAGTTCGCATTCCATAATTAGCGTCATTATAAGATACTTTTAACTGATCGCGAGCCTAATTATTTAGCACAAAATCGAATTAAAACCGATATTATTTTGCAATTCAAATATTTCGATCGTCGTTGGAATCTTGTAGCTTGCTCGAGCATATTTATGTGAACTACAAGACGCGATTACATTAATTTATTTACATATTTAAATGCTTCGCAAATATTATCTGCGCAATAAGGAACTTCCGTGATTATATATGTACAGGCTAATCCCAAACTGTGACCCAAGTTGTTTACATCGATTTGACTTGACTTTACGACATTAAAATTTTGCTTCGTAAATATTGTCTAGCCATACGCGATAAAAACGATTCATAGTTATACATTCGCAGAATATTGCGGAAATAGATTTCCTTTCATTGTTATCCCTTGTTTAAATGTAAAAATGCGAGCAGAACGTGCGTGAAGAATTGCTGATGGGTGCGCGCAGCGTAAGCGAGTGTAATCCAGTCGATAGAGACATTGGAATGGATGTAACGTGAAGTAGATAATTTTTTTGCAGAAATCACTTTCTCATATCACATGAAATGAGAATATCGATATGCGCCCCCGTGAAATCCTATGGAAAATTTATGGGAGGGGTAAATGTATGTAAAACGTTAAAAATGGATTATTTTTCTTGATATTTCTCGAAATAATTACGTTATTAACGCTTTGAAGACAAAAATGTATAGGATCTTTTTTGTTTATTATAAAATTCTCTACAAGATACAGGTAGTTAAATTTGTGCGCATGCAATATTTACGTTGTAAAATTGCAAAAACTGGAGAAAAAAGGGTCATTTTTTAAGTAGCTACAATTGATATTAAGAATTAACTGTCGTTGATGAAAATCCGAGATCGGATAGTCTAAAGTATACTTAATTAATGTGCAAAATCCGCGCCTCGTTTGTTCATTAGTTATTGCACAATCTATTTGTTAATAAAGAATTTACCCTTTTTGATATTGCTAATGCTAAACGAAGGTTTTCTCATAGGACCCAAATTTTTTACACATAGGTATTTGAATGTTGAAAGTATCGTAAGGAATTGGTAAAATGCAATTTTTTTTATTTGAACAACTTTTAGAATTTTTAGAAAATTTTAAACTTATAAACAAATAGATTTTGTTTTTTGAATTTTGACAATTTCGTCGCATCTATAAAAAAAGAGCTTGAAAGCCCGCGTAATTTGACGCTAAGAACGTTAGTGTACTATATGTTGCATAGATTCTGAGTTATTGAACTTCAAAGTTAACAAATCCCAGATAGCACACAGAGCCCAAAAGAATTTCTTAGTATATTCAGTTTTATGTCATCAATTCTGAGTTTATTTTCAGGTGCAAAAAGAATCCCTTTTAGAAAAAGAATTCTTTTTGCATCTGAAAATGAACTCAGAATTGGTGATATATAACTGAGTTCTTTTTTCACTCTCTGTGCTATCTGGGAATGTTTATTGCAAAACTATCAATAATATAGCAATGAAAAATTATTGTTTTTGCATTGTAGTTGCAAGTTCTTTTAGTAGTTCTTTTAGGAAAGTATATGACTTTGCATAAACATTAGAGTAGTGCTTCAGATAAAAAAAATTAACGAACGTTGCAAAACCGCGAATGAATTCGAGCTCAGCGAGAGCTGCGAGCCGATGGAGAGGATGAGCGTCCACTTCTGAGCTCGTGTGTTCAAAATGCGCTCCGTTACTTATTAATACGCATTATCTGATCCGTAAGTAAGACACGAAAATTAAACTTTTTTTTTTTAAATCGATGTACCGAAATGAGCTGAACATGATTTTTGTAATAAAAGCCACAAATTTTCCAAAACTGAGAAGTTAATAGTTTTCAAAAAAATGTAATATTTTATTTTAAAAAAAAGTATAGCTTACCACGTTTGGCAACGAAAGCCCCCTACAAATGTTGCGAGACCGCAAAAAGCCAGATTTTTCTTCAAGGTAATACGAGCCAAGGAATGCCGGATTTAGGCGAAGTACCTCGCCGTCCTCGCCTATACATCTGATTTCGTGGCAATTATACATATAATGGCTGATTGACCTTTGGGATTTCGCGACATTTTCACAACTTTGATTCGTCGCGAAGCTACCACGGTGTTGAAGGGGCGATTGTCCGCGATGACGGCGAAATAGATTTAATGAGTCGAGAACCGTGCCTTCGAAAGCATCCGTTAGTGCAATAAAGTGAAATCTTATGCTGCAATTAATGCTACGCGATCGAAGACTATTAATCTTTAAAAAAAGAAAATGTTATTTTAAGTCAACTCCATATTCCTGATTTTATTGCGATTAAAATTGTAAAAAGTAATTATAAATGTACTGTTGGGCACTGGATTTCGAAAGATAAAGTTCAGACATAATGTACAAACTATTTATTCGGTTAACATACGGATATCCTTAAATGAGAGCTACGACTGATGCTCACTTGACAACGGACGGGGCCTATAAGATCGAACGTTATAATTGTTTGAAACGCAAGGGATGAATTTAGGTTGTCTTGTGCAGGCGCATCGCGAAGTCGTTGCTTTCGTTATACACGTTCACATGATTATTAAGAGTGGATACAGGTGAACACCGAATATATTACAATAGAACGAAGAAAATAACACGTACACGACGAACATTACTTATAAACATATATCAACTTTCAACATATTTAGCTTTACATAAATTAGCGAACTGTTCCAAGAAGCATTGGTAATATCAAAAAGATAAGGATAGATTCTTCATTAATAGATTGTGCAATAACTAATGAACGGACAAGGCGCGGGTCTTGCACACTAATTAAGTATACTTTAGACAGAGAGAAACG